GTCTTAATAAACATGAGTCTTCAGCATCTGGACTTAATTAGCAACTTATGTCTTCATATCTTCTGACTGACTTCTTTAGACAAACATCAGAGCTTACACTTCAGAACCTTCTGGAGTGTCTTGCTACTGTACAACAGAACTTATGTAGCGCAGAAGCGGAACTAATTTTCTTCTAATGTCTTGGTCACGCCATCCATCAAAAGTAAAACTTGTTTATTAAGTACTCAACAATAATAAACATTAGAGTACCAAAATTGTTCACACAAATATATTCATTTGTTATCATCAAAATTTAAATATAATATTGCAGAACCAAATCTTGTTTTTACACTTCTATCCTAACTTCTTCTTTCAAGTCACTCATGAGAGCCTCTTCATTATCATTTATTAAGGGAGCTGAGATTAAATTAAACATATGCTTATTGTGATTTATTGATATTATATGTTTTTGTTCATGGATATCATGCTTCCTTGTGCAAGTTGATTGAATATTGGTCAGAGCAAGATGTCCATTTGTTTTATCTCTCTTCTTTTTCGTTGTTTGTTCTTTCAATAAATAATTACTACTTTTTGATACAGTATGAGTCCTGCAATAAACACACTTCGAAATCGACTCAGGGAGAATGAATTTCGGGTATATATATCATCTTTTCTAAGTTGCACCCTAATTGAAGTTTAATATAAAATACATATTCTATATTAATTCTAAAAAATGATGGATATAAATTTAGGAACTAAATTTTAATTTTAAATATAGAAAACAATTTATTGCGGTATTCTCACCGTTTTTTAGTTCATGACTCTTAAAATTTGAAATTTTTTCCAAAAACTATTTTTTACACATGTGTTTAACTCGTTTCTTAAGTTGTGATGCAATATTTAATAAACTTGAAGATATATTGGAGAATGCAACAAGTTATGCAATGGGGTTGTCATATTTTATCATTTTTTTAGATATTATTTTATGATGCATTTGATTAAGTTTTTTGTTTTACAAAAACATTTTTTTATTAAATGTTTCTACCATATTAGTGATTGTTTCATATTTAAATCTATTTCTTTCATATTTATCATTGTATAAATAGTATGATTTACTTAAAATTAATAAATTAGCAATTTTATTATAAGTATTAATAAAATATTTAAATAGATTTTGGGCTAAGAATGTATTATAAATAGTATAAATTAAATATAAAATAAAAATAAATATAGTGATTGTACAAATGTTAATTGTGATTGGATAAGTCTATATGAACAGAAATGAAGAAACTTATAATAATTCATGATATTGACTAGAGAAAAAAATGGTATGTGTACCAGCAACTCACACAAATATCTCTCTTATCCCTTCTTAGGACCCTTAAATTTGAGCAGACACTTTTTGATGGATCAAACCCATTAGAATGATTTTTTAAGAAAAACATTTTTTTGGGTTTTACAACTTACCACTTAGAATCGTTTATCATTAATTTCCTTCTATATGAAGGGATACGCTTTATGCTCGTTTAAATGGATGTCTCAAAACCAATTTTAAACAGATTGGTTTGCTTTTATGAAAGCCTTAGAATTACGCTTTGGACCATTTACATTTGAAAATCACCAAGTTGAACTTTTTAAGCTCAAACGGATAGGATTAGTGGTGGAATATCAAACTAGGTTCGAATAGTTAGGAAACATGGTTGTTGGGTTACCACAAGAAGCAATTCTAAACTATTTTATCTCAAGCCTCCAATTAGAAATTAAAAATAAAATTTCAATTCACCGTCCTACCTCCATTTCACAAGTCATAGGCCTTGCCAAACTTATTGAGTCCAAGATTAAAGATTCAAAGGCAAAATTATCTAAAACGTTCCCCTCAAACTACCATAAACCTTCTACTTTCTTTCCCCATACCAACACCTGCAAAACAAACCCCCAGCTTTCCCAACCTACATCCCCACATACTACTGCCCCACCTGTCACTAAATTTCTCATTCGTCGTCTCACACAATCATAACTGTAAGAAAGAAGAGCTCAAGGCTTATGTTTTAATTGTGATGAAAAGTTTGTCATTGGTCACAAATGCACTACTAGCATATTCTCATCTTATTGGCGGATGATAATTCGGTAGAGGATCAACTCGATATTCCAAATGCTATTGAAACCCCTAGTGATCCAGACATTAATAAGACATATTTCTAGCTCTCTCATCAAGCTATGACGGGTCAATTTTCACCTCAAACTTTAAAATTTAAAGGGTCCATTGGAGGTCTAATTGTTATGGTTCTCGTTGATACGGGTAGCACACATAATATCATGTAGCCAAGAATTGCTCAGCATCTCCATCTTAGGACTACTCCAATTAGTCAGTTTTCGGTAATGGTTAGAAATGGCTATCATTTACAATGTGAAGGAGTCTGTAATAATGTTCAAATCCTACTGCAGAATAAACCTTTTACCTTGTCGTTCTATTTACTCCCAATTGAAGGCGCATACATCATTCTAGGCATGGCTTGGTTAAGAACCTTGGGTCCCATCCAAGCTGACTTTTCAATTCCTTCCCTTACTTTCCAACATCAAAACAAACCTATGACTTTGAAAGGTGACCCTAAATCTCACTCTATTCATTCTACTTTTCATCAATTGTGTCAACTTATTCATACCAATATTGTGGCCTCTTTCCATCTTATAATCATGGAACCCTTACATATTTCACCCACACCTTATAACTTACCCATCTCACCCATAACCACTACACAATAACCCCTTCCACCTCAACTCTCTCACCTTTTAACACAATACCAGTCCATCTTTCAAATTCCCTATGGCCTCCCCCCCCCCCCCCCCCCCCTAGACCTCGTGATCACCATATTCCACTTTTACCTAATACACCTCTCATCAATGTAAAACCTTACAGATACCCCCATTCGAAGAAAAAGGCTATGACCATAATTATTCAGGAGATGTTGAAGGAGGGTACTATTACCCCAAGTCACAACCTTTTTTCTTCACTCGTGTTACTTGTAAAAAAAGGATGGCGCATGGAGATTTTGCGTTGATTACCGTGCCCTTAATGCAGTTACTATTAAAGACAGATTTCCTATTCCAACTATCATGAGTTATTAGATGAGCTGGGTTCAGCCACTATTTTTACCAAGATAGACTTATGCTCTGGGTACCATCATAGTAGAGTTGCATCGAAGGATACATATAAAATGGATTTTCAAACTTTTGATGGATACTATGAATTTCTAGTTATGCTTTTTGGTTTAACTAATGGACCTTCTACTTTTCAATCTATGATGAATGATTTGCTAAGGCCTTACTTAAGAAGTTTTGTGTTTTTTTTCATTGATGACATTTTAATTTATAGTGCTACTTTTAGCGATCATCTAACCCATTTGCAGGTTGTTTTTGATTTATTAAGGCTCAAAAATTCTGTGTGAAGTTATCCAAGTGTGTGTTTGCATCATCTAAGATTGATTACTTAGGGCATGTTATTTCTGCGGAGGGGGTTGCCCATGATTCAGACAAAATCAAAGCCATTTTAGATTGGCCTCCTCCCATATCTCTCACGACCCTCCACGGATTCCTAGGCCTTACTGGATTTTACCATTTTTTTGTTAAAGATTATGCCACTCTCGCTGCTCCCCTCACTGATTTGTTACGTACTACTACATGGAGTACACAGGCTGCTACAGCCTTTACAAAATTAAAAGACAAAATGACCAGTGTACCGGTCTTAACCCTCTCCAAGTTTACAAAACCTTTTATTATTGAAACGGATGCTTCCAGTGTCGCCATAGGTGTTGTTCTGTCACAAGAAGGTCATCTTATTGCTTTCTTCAGCAAGAAGATATGCCCGAGAATACAGGCTTCATCAGTGTATGTCCGCGAAATGTTTCTCATCACCGAGTCTGTTAAAAAATGGAGTCAATATCTAATTCGGCAGAAATTTTATATTTATACAAATCAGAAAAGCTTAAGAAGTTTATTGCTTCAAAGGATCCAAACTCCTGAGCAACAAAGGTGGACAGCTAAACTACAAGGTTTTGATTTTGAAATATTCTACAAACTTGGAAAATCCAATCTTGTAGCTAACGCTTTGAGCAGTAAGTTCACAACTGATAAGAATTTGTTGCTTTCATTATCCTCGCCCAACCCACACCTTTTCACCACTCTACGCACATTTTATCACACAGACATTGCTTGTTAGAATTTACTTAAGTTAGAAGCACATGCCAATACCAACAAGGACTACAGGGTTACAAATGGCATCACGTATTACAAAGAAATGGTTTTCATACCTGACACCCACCACTTGCGCCAATCTATTCTCCATGAACATCACCACACACCAGCAACTGAGCATTCAGGTGTTAAGGCTACACTTGCAAGGCTGAGAGCTTCATTTTTGTTGGCCCGACATTTACCTAGAGGTAAAAAATGGTCACAAAATGCACAATTTGTCAACATCACAAATATGACACACAGAAAATAAAGGGTCTGTTACAACCTTTACCTATTCCAAACAAAGTCTGGGAAGAAATTACGATGGATTTTGTTACACATTTACCAAATTCTTTTGGTCACACTGTCATCTGGGTACTCTGTGATCGCCTAACCAAATTCATACATTTCATTCAGTTGCCAACAAAGTTCACTGCTAAGGATCTGGCCACTCGCTTCACGGTAGAGATTTTTTGCCTCCATGGCACTCCAAAATCCATTGTCTCGGACCGGGATCCATTATTCCTCAGCAAATTCTGGAAACAGCTCTTCAAACTTTATGGCACGACCCTTAAATACAGTACCTCGTATCTTCCAGAGATGGTCGGACAAACAAAAGTCGTTAATCGTTCGCTAGAGACATATCTCAGGTGTTTTGTTGGAGACCACCCTCGTCAATGGTATAAATTTTTGCACCTGGCTGAGTAGTGGTACAATACTTCTTTCCACACAGCAATTCAAGTGACCCCTTTTAGAGCTTTATACGGCCGTGACCCACCAGCGTTACCCTACTACTTAGAAGGCACCGCTACAGAGGAATCCTTAGACCTTGCATTGACCAATCAACAACAAATGCTCATGGAGTTAAAATCACATCTCAGAAAAAGTAGAGTAACAATGGAAAAACAAGCAAATACAAAACGAAGAGCTTACACTTTTCAAGCTGGAGATTTTGTTTTGCTGAAGCTGCAACCATACAGTCAATCTACCGTCTCTCATAGGGTTTCACATAAATTGTCCAAACGTTTCTATGGTCCCTTTCGCATCATTCGATGTTTCGGTACCATCACTTACCTCTTGGATCTACCATCATCTTCCCGAATCCATCCTATTGTCCATGTTTCTTTACTTGAACCTTACTACGGTGTCAACCCGGATACAGATCTTCAACCGCTTCCCTCGCCAGATCTCATCGACTTTAGCTCTACACAGAATAACCTACAAGACCATCAACAGACCTAACATCAAGCTTCAAATATCACAGGGACACATGCAAACACAGAAAAGGATGAAGGACTTACAGAGATTATGTTACCACCAGTGGCGTTAGCACCTCAGGATCCAACAGAAGTTGTCACACCATTGTCTTCAACCTCCGATGGTACTCTTGTCCACAAAACACTGGCACGTTGCAGTGGAGTCCCCTTCACAAAATGAGGCTCAAGTGTTGCGTAACCCTAAGAGTACTTCCTCACAAGTATTGTCAATTACCAAGCAATTTGCGACTTCTGATGATACCACTCTCAATTGTATTTCGTATCCCCATACACATTTCCCAAATAAATAAATATCTGAACACGTGGCACCCATGCACGTTTCCTCATCTGCTTCACCCTATGTGTCAACAACTCAACTCATACCCACTTGTACTTCTGGCCTAAACGTTAATTAGCCCACTTATTCCATGAACCTTGAGGACAAAGTTCTTTATGGGCCTGAGAGTAGTATTATGAAGAAAGATAGGTCCATTAGAGAGAAAAGAAGATCAATTCTCTTAAAAGATTATATTTAAGATAGTAGGTGCAATTAGTAATGTTTTATGTTATCTTTGGACTTTTGTGTTATTAGTTGGTTGGCCCATAGCCCATTAGGTTTATAAACCTAGCTATATAAATTGTATTTGTGCTCTTGTTGAAGTAAGAAGAAAAATTATTTTTATCTTATTGTCTTTTTATACAATTTTAGATCTTAGGTTAATTTAGTATATAATCTATCAGTATAAGTATAAGATAGAGTGTAGTCGCATATTGTCAAGAGTAATTAGAAGTGTGGAATGGAGTAGTCACATATTGAAAAAGTAATTAAAGTAACATTTTTTCTCACATATCTAAAACTAAAATAAAAAGTTAAAATTTAATTGAAGTATAATATAAATGCTATTTAATATTATTTATTTTCATTTTTATTACATTTAAGAAATAAATATGTGTAAAATACTAATATTTTTACGAATACACTAGTACTAAAATAATTTATATTATTGATGTAATCATTTCACTGATATATATCATTAATGAAAAATATCATTTTTAACAGAAATGCTTTTTCTCACAAACAATTATTTCACAAAAATTTTGCAAACGGACAAAAATATCTACAAAATATTATCTTTTGATGAATTACGGTGAAGATTAAATATTTTATATAATATTCACAAACAAGTTTGAGATGATTATTTTTTGGATTTTTAAATTTAATGGTAGGCAGTGCAAAGGGTGGGGTAATAGATAAATCGTTGAGATAAGAATTAATTAGTCATTATTTTTTATTTAAATAAAAAATAACTTAAAAGGCTTGTATATGTTAATGGTTGTATTGAATTTACGTTCGTAAATTTCGTTAGGTTTGATCTTTGTTATATATATATAGCATTATTTTATTTTTAAATTAGTGAGTAAATTGTAATTTTTTTAAATAAAAACAAATTTTTGTTATTCAAATATTTTTTTAAATAAAAACAAATTTTTGTTATTCAAATATTTTTATAAATAATGTCAAAACAAATATTATATTCAATACTAGATAATATATTGTTTGACTATTTTTATGTATGAAGAAATTAAATGTATGAGCTATATATAAATTAAAATGTCTTTATTTAAAAAAAATATATATTCTTTTGGCAAACAATTTTTTTTCTTTTTTACGTTCTTTTATTTATTATAAAATAATTTTTTCTTTTTTATATTTTTTTATTTATTATAAAATAATTACACGTAACACTTCATATAAACACATGAGTAATCATATAAAAATTCGTGCGAACATACTGATAATTATATTTCAATATATTTAAAGTAAAAAATAATGTATTAATCTAATCACGATATAAATTTATTATTTTTTAATTATTTATTTATCTAATATTATTATTTTGAAAATACAAAATTTTAAAAGATAATATATAAAAAATTGAAATATATATTATCGAACACTCGGAGTAATTATACCAATTAATTTCTCATATAATCCTAGCAACTTTATTTTATAATATTTCCTTATATTAATTTTAATAAAAAGTATTTATTTCTTTAATTTCGATGCTTTCAATTTTGTTCCTGATTTTTTTTTACACAATTTAAAGTTAACTATTTTTATTTTTCCACCAAATATTTATTAATTTTAATATACATTTTTTTATTAAAAAATTTATATCTGAAACAAATGTGAATTCCATATTAAAACCCGCACAAACACACCGTTTGCTACTAGTGGTATAGAAAAGAAAATTGAGAATTGAAATTATACAATTTCAAGTTACCAATTTCACATTTTAAACAGAATTGAAATTATTGCATTTGGTGTTTGAACATTACCTGCTGAGCTTACTATACTTTTAAAACAATTATCTTTTCCTTGAAACCCGTTACATCTTGTCACTTTCCTCGGCATGAGTACTTTATTCTACATGTCTTGCTATCACTTTTCTTATGCAGCTATATCAGATTTCAAAACAGAAAATAGTATTAAAAACAATATTATGTTACAACCTGTTGTATTCAAACAACATTTATGCTTTCAACCTGTTGTATAGCAGATTTCAAAACAGTATTAAAATAGTATTAAACACGTTGTACATGGTGTCTATTTACAAGATCAGCTATCAGGTTTTTTTTAATCCAAACTACACACTTATCACGAGTTTCTTTATTTGAGTTTATACTATTGCTCATTTTACAATTATGTTATTACTATTGAATTTTTATGTGCATCTAAATATTTTTATGTAGATTTAAGATAGAGTTTAAAGTCAGTGAAACAATTAGTGAAACAGAATCTAAGGAGTATTGTGTTGTCCAACGTGGACGAAAAAGATGTTGATATATGGTTTTCATGATGGTGAATATGATACATTATTTTGTACTTTTCAATACAATGAGGAGGATTTATCTTGGGAAGATTATCACTAAAAACTCATTGTTTTTACGAATCTTTATTATTATAATATTGTTTTTATTTTAATTAATAAAATATTTGTAAATATATATAGTTATTATATATATTAAATTTATTATTTGATGATTTATTATTTCTATTTTCAATATTTTTAATTATTAGTGGTTTTATAATAATAATAATTATTATATATCAATAATAAAAAACTTTATTGAATAATTTAAAATTTGAATGAAGTTATCCATGGCACGAGTCTTCTACTTAGACTATTCACATAATTATTTATTATATTTTATATTATCAAATGTATTATTATTGTATAATATCTATTCTTACTATTTTATTTCTATTTTTTTCAAATTGCTATGAAATACTTGGACATATAATATCATTCTTTTTTGAAGTTCTTTTGAAGACATTGTTTTAACACTTTTGTTAGATTCTATTTTGTCTTATTTCTATTCTCTCTATATAAAATATATTAAAAGTTGATTTCATATTTGGTGAACTTTAATTCAACATTTATAATTCTGCATGTTACCGATTTTTAATCGTGTTTGTATTACATTTTTACATTAAGAATTAAGTTATCTACGCATATATCTTCTATTAATATTAATAAAAATATGATGCATACCTTTTTATGCACATCACACTTTATTTAAATTGAGGTTTTTTTTTTGTAGTTTCATGAGATGTTTCAAAATGTTAAGTTAAATTCTTCCAATTTTCTTCTGATTCTTGTATCCAAGTCTTCCGTTAATTTTCATCATAACTTTTTCATATTTCTTCAAAATCTTTATTAATATCATACAAAACCATAAATAATTAAAAGGAAAAGTACTATAAATTAATATAAAATGTGATTAAAAATATATAATTATTGATTTTGATCATAACCCCAAACTTAAATATTTCGTTCTCATCATGAAACAAATTTAAAAATTTAAAATAAATTAAAGTTTTTTGAAAATATATAAATACCGACTTACTTGATGATAATTTATGCTTTTTAAGCTACTTAAGAAAACATTAATAACAACATGTATAAATATAATTTCCTTTCTCAAGCCTCAAGATTGATAATTCAAAAGACTTTCGTCCTAATCATATTTGTTCAACATTTCTCTATTTCTCACCAATTCACTCAAATTCATAAACAGTCAAGATGCATGAATTATTTTACCATAGACTTAAAAAATTTCTAAATAGTTTATCAAATCAATATTATTAACACACTATTGAGGTCTTAAGAGTTGTAATATGCCTTGGGTTAAGCTATGATAATTTTGGAAAAATATGCTTTAATTGTTTTGGAGTTAGGCGCTACAACTCATTTAACTACCAATTTTTTAAGGTCTTAAGGGTTGTAACGTTACTATCAAGAATGCTGGAAAACTCCATTGGAACAAAACAGAAGAAACATAATTCCAACAGAATTCTAACTGTATGCAAACAGAAAAGAATAAGGCAAGCAAAGAGTAAAGTGATTACTGTTGTATTGAATTGATCAATTAAAACTGTACAAGTGGTCATTATATAATGTATGTATAAGCCTAGATTAAATAATAGCCATTGGATTAAGATAATAAAATAGAAAACTAATCTATTATCTAAGCTAAGAGGCCCCCTCAAGTTGGACTATGGATACTGCATAGATCCAACTTGGACAAAATAGAGGACAGAGTTGGAGAATGTAATGGCTTAGTAAACATGTCCGCGAGCTGATCCACTGTAGAAATAGGCAAAAGGTGCAGGAGCTTGGACTGAATCTTCTCACGTATAACATGGCAATCAATTTCTATGTGTTTACTACGCTCATGAAATGCTGGATTGTGAGCTAAGTAGATAGCTGACTTGCTGTCACAATAGACTGAGGCAGGTTGAGGCAAGGTGATGGTGAGATCTTTGAACAAATACTGAAGCCACTGAAGCTCACAAGTCAAGGATGCTAGGGCACGGTACTCTGCTTCAGTTGAAGAACGTGACACTGTGTTCTGTTTCTTGGACTTCCAGCAAATGAGAGACGTGCCTAGAAGAACACAAAAACCAGTTGTTGACCTGCGCGTATCTGGACATCGTGCCCAGTCAGAATCAGCAAAACCATACATTTTAAGAGCACTATTAGAAGAGAACAAAATGCCTTTGGTAGGAGAACTCTTCAAATATCTTAGAACCTTAATGGCAGCCTGATGATGTGGAAGTAAGGGATGAGACACAAACTGACTTAACTGTTGAACAGCATAAGAAATGTCTGGCCTAGTATTAGTAAGGTAAATCAATTTACCAATCAACTGTCTATAGGAAGAAGGATCCTGCAAAGGCTCACCAGTAGAAACAGAAAGTTTCAAGTTAGGATCATAAGGTACAGAAGATGGTTTGCAAGCAAGTAAACCTGTCTCCTCTAAAAGTTCAAGAGCATACTTCCTTTGATTCAAAAAAATACCCTTAGAGGACCTTGCAATTTCGAAGCCTAAAAAGAACCTCAATTGACCAAGATCCTTGATCTTGAATTCTTTGTCAAGAACATTTTTAACAAACTGAATTTCCTGCAGAGAATTCCCAGCTAGGACTATGTCATCAACATAGACAAGTAAAGCAGTGAAACTGTGCTCAGTAGATTTGGTATACAAAGAGTGATCTGCTTGTGATTGAGAGTACCCCAAGGAAAGAAGAAACACAGAAAGTCTAGAGTACCATTGTCTACTAGCCTGCTTTAAACCATACAGAGACTTTTGTAGCTTGCAAACCTGAGTAGAATTGGAAACAGGGAGACCAGGGGGAACTGACATATATACCTCCTCATTCAAGTCACCATGCAAGAATGCATTGTTTACATTCAATTGTTCCAAGTGCCATCCCTTAATGGCAGCAATGGATAATAATACTCTGACAGTGGTGATCTTAGCAACTGGAGAAAATGTGTCAAAATAGTCAACTCCTTCAAGTTAAGTATATCCCTTGGCAACAAGCCTAGCCTTATATCTTTCTATAGACCCATCAGCTTTGTATTTTATTCTGTAAACCCATCTACAACCAATGGGAACCTTTCCATGAGGCAAATCCATTACAGTCCAAGTGTGATTCTTAGCAAGAGCCTTTAACTCATCATCCATGGCATTTTTCCAACAGTCCTGCTTAATTGCTTGAGCATATGTTTTGGGTTCAATATTGGTAGAAATAGAAAAACAGTAGTTTTTGTAAGCAGGAGAACAGAGTTTATAAGACAGAATAGAAGAAAGAGGATATGTAATTTTAGAGGAAGAAGGTTTAGAATGAGATGTAAGAGTGGAATAACAGTGATAATCAGATAAGTAGCTAGGAGGATTGGAGGTTCTGCTGGATTGCCTTATAGGAGGAATAGGAGTAGGGAAGGCTATGGACTGATTAGACAACTCAGGAGAAGAGACAGGAGGATTCTGATTTTGGTCAGAAGGCACAGGAAAAGATGTGGCAGTAGAAGGACTAGATGTACTAGAAGAATTGTGAGGGGATGTAACAGCAGAGGGGCTAAAGGGTAAAGGGGATATAGGATTATAGGGAGATTGAGGAGTACCACTGCTGTCAGGAGAATTATTAGGAACAGAAGGGGAAGTCAAATCAGTGTTGCTATGGTCAATAGCATTGTTAAATGATGATGGCATGTCAAGAAATTCATTTAGGATAGAGGCAGGAATAGAGGAAGGAGAGGATGATACAGAAGAAGGTTTGAATGGAAAGACATTTTCATAAAAGATGACATTTCTAGACACAGAAATAGCATGATTGTGCAGATTGTAAACTATGTACCCCTTTGTACCATCCTTAAAGCCAAGAAAGATAGCTTTGTGAGCCCTAGGATCAAATTTGGTCCTATGTGCTTGCAAAGTAGAAACAAAACATAGACAGCCAAATACCTTTAAGTGTATGATGGAAGGTGGTTGTTTAAACAAAATTTCATAGGGAGACTTTGATTTTAAAAGGGGTGTGGGTAGTCTATTTATAAGGTGAACAACATGTTGTACACAGAAGTTCCAAAGAGATAAGGGGACATTGGAATGAAAATGTAAGGCTCTAGCAATGTTTAGAATATGTTGGTGTTTTCGTTCAACTACACCATTCTGTTGAGGGGTCTCAACACAAGATTTTTGATGCACAATTCCTTTGGATGAAAGGAAATCGGCAATGGTAAGGAATTATGTACCATTGTCAGACCTAAGGCACTTAAGAGATGTTTTAAACTGATTTTCAATGAGAGCTACAAACTGAATGAGGCTAGCTCTAGTTTGATCTTTGGTGCTGAGGAAAATGACCCATGTAAACCTTGTGTAATCATCTACTAATGTTAAAAAGTATTTGTGACCAAGAGTAGACACAGTGGAGAATGGCCCCCATAAATCAGCATGCAAAATATCAAATGGAGCATATGAAACAGAAGTACTAATGGGAAAATAAAGCTTCTTTTGCTTTGCAAAGTGACATGAGTCACAAGGATCCAATTTTGAATTACAATTAATGAAAGGAAAAGCTTTAGAGATTTCCTGTAATCCTAAGTAAGGCACATGACCTAATCTTAAGTGCCATGTATTACAAGATGTATTATTGACAAAAGAAAAAGCAGAATTAGGTCTTGCAAGCTCAAGAGTATAGAGTCCCCTTTGCACATTAGCTATACCAATCATTGCCTTGGAATGATTCTGCATAATGTGACAAGAATTAGCATGGAACTGAACAAAACAATCATTGTTATCAACAAGCTTAGCAATAGAGACAAGATTAACATGGAAACTGGGGATAAACAGGACATGATGCAGAGTTAGGGAGGGAGAAAGAACAACAGTACCAGCTATGGAAGCAATTATTTGAGAGCCATTAGGTAAATTTACAGGAATAGGAACAATATTTTTATGATCAAGAAACAGGCTAATGTCAAAGCAAATATGGTCAGTAGCACCAGTATCAAGGATCCAAATGTTAGAATTCTTACCATTAGAGCCTGACTGAAAATTCAATGCAAGAGGAGAAGTTGAGATAGAATTAGCATGGGAATTAAGCTGTGACTGTTGTAATAAGGCCATGATGTGAGTGTATTGCTCTTGAGTAAGGGCACAAGAGGATGCAGGGGAAGAGCCTGTAGATTGGTTCTCAGAAGCAGTATTGGCCATGGCAATTGGCTGAGAAGTATTAGAAGAACCTGGAGCCTTGTTTTTGCCTCTATATCCAGGGGGAAATCCATGCTTCAAAAAACAAGTTTCTATGGTATGGTTGGTCCTATTACAGTGAGTACAAATCCTAGCATGACCTTTAGGACCAGTTCCTTGAGATTTCCATTTAAAGTTGCCATAGCCAGGTCTACTATTGTGATTACTCCGAGCTTGAACATTCAAAGCTGTGGCCTCATCAGTGTTATCAGTAGGGGACAGACTATTAGAGACAGAGCTATTCATCTCTCTTTCTTGTTGAATGACAAGAGAAAATGCCTTATCAATGTTTGGCAATGGGTTCAGCATCATAATCTGAGATTTTGAATGCGTGAATTTGTCATTCAAACCTTTCAAAAATCGAAGCACATAGTCTTGTTCCCTATAACGCTGAACAGAAGCAATAGCATCGCAAGAACATGGAATAGCACAAGTACAAACAGGTATGGGGCGATAATTTTCAAGTTCATCCCATAAAACCTTCATTTGAGTAAAGTAATTAGAAACGTCGAGCGTACCTTGACGAAATTTGTACAATTCCCCCTGGATGTCTGAAATGCGAAAGATATCACCATGAGAAAACCTAACTTGCAAGTTCCTCCAAACACCAGCAGCATTGTCGATCCATAATACTGACTTCGCAATTGACTCGGAGATAGAGCATTGGATCCAAGCAAGAACCATAGTGTTACACCGAATCCAAGAAGCATAGAGTGGATCAGATAGTGGTGGTTTAGGGAGGGATCCATCAATGAATCGGTCTTTGTTCTTGGATATCAGCGCTATCTGCATCGATCGAGCCCAAACGTGATAGTTCTTGACGTCAAGTGGAGGCGAAACAAGCACCAGTGCTGGGTTTTCATTCGGATGTAAATAGAAAGGATTTGCGGAATTTGTAGAAAAATCTACATAGCTCTGGTAAGCCATTGAAACAGAAGAGGAAGCTCAAGAGAATGCGCGAGCAGAAGAGAAAGAAAGCAAGCTTCGCTTAGAAAAGAATGGCTACCAGAGCTTGATAAGCTCTGATACCATATCAAGAATGCTGGAAAACTCCATTGGAGCAAAACAGAAGAAACAGAATTCTAACTGTATGCAAACAGAAAAGAATAAGGCAAGCAAAGAGTAAAGTGATTACTGTTGTATTGAATTGATCAATTAAAACTGTACAAGTGGTCATTATATAATGTATGCATAAGCCTAGATTAAATAATAGCCATTGGATTAAGATAATAAAATAGAAAACTAATCTATTATCTAAGCTAAGAGTTACTTTGGTTAAGGGAGGATAGTTTTGGAAAATAGAAGATTAGAGAATATAATTTTACAAAATATAATTTTGGAAAATATAATTTTGAGGTCTTAGGGAATATAATTTTAGAAAATAGAATTTTGAAAAATATAACATTACAACCCTTAAGACCTCAAACCAATTCCCTTTCGCATAATTGTTTTGGAGTTAGGCACTACAACTCATTCAACTACCAATTTTTTTTCATTCGACCAAAGGGTGCGACTCCTTTAACAGTTCAAAATATGAAAAACAAACTCGTGAACTTGTGAAAATGGATTGGTAATTAGGGGATCACATCTCTTGGTAAGGGGTATTTTGAATTTGCTTTCTCTTTTCTAGAGGATGTTAGACGTGTGAGGACCATAACCACTTGGAATCTTAGTCTTGGGCTTTTGAAGCTTTTTCCTTGATCAAAAGATTTCAATGCCTACCTACTTAAACAATCTTTTTCTCAGGTTTGGGTTAGAATTCATGGGGTAGTTCAGGAGTACTGGTGACCAAAAATTGTTTTTGCTATAACAAGTAGCATAGGGATTCCGGTGTACCGACTACGCTTCAAATAAATGCAACTTTGATCGTTCGTTTGGTAAATGTGTTCGTGTTCTTATTAATTTGGAAATGTCTAAGGAACTGAGATATAAGGTTTTGGCGGAATGAAAGTGCTTTTCTTTTTTTGTGGAACTCGTACATGAAAATTTTCTGGAGTTTTATTTAAACTGCAACATTGAAATTTTGGAACACGCACAATATCAAAAGTTAAGACGGATGTCTTAACAACACACAATATCACAATAGATGTTATGATATCTGCTGACAGAATAGCAAACAAAATAACAACAAGTAGAATTATAACTTGCAGAAACTAAAGAACACAATAATATGTTAACCCATTTCGGTGTAACTCACCTACTCTGGGGCTATCAAGCCATGAAGAAAATCCACTATCAGTAGTACTAATTCAAAGCTAAACTCTCCCGTTTACAACTTCTCGCCTAATCCCTACCTAGTGCAACTTCTACCTAGATCCTCCCTAGATATGAGAAATCTCCATCTCACTTCCAATCACCGCATGATAAAAACTCCCAATCACAGGGGAAAATAATTCAAGTCCCAGGAACTGATAGGAAGTACATTCCCCAGTTACAACTTGTAATAAGGTGGGAGAATTGACTTGGTTGTTTTGCATTTGATCGCAATTGTTAGGGATAGCAAGAGTCGCCACCGATTTTTCTTTTATCCAATAAGGAAAGGGTGAAAAGAATAGGAAAGACCTTTAGAGATGTTTTCTTGAGTTCGGGGGGTAGGTTATGAAAAGGGAAGGTGTTAGAACCATTTTCATCCGTAGTTATCTACGAGCTCTTAGTTGCTTGCTAGATCACTTTTTAAATTGCTTTGTTTGAAAAGGTGTTTTGTGATGGGTGTAAGTTTGAAAATATTTTGCAAAATGCCTTTGTTACGGCTAAATTTATAATGATTCTTGTCTCTATAAGAATGCATATAAAGTATTGGTTTTTAAAAATAGTTCAAAGATATGTTTGTTTTTGAAGATGTGTTGAAAGTGTGTATGTGGAAATGGTTTTAGTTTGCGAGCAAGCAACTACGAGCATCCTACATACTCAAAAGGTCTTTGTCCTTTCCTCCTCCTTTAGATGTTGTTATCTTACCATTGATTGGTAAGAAACCCCATCATTAGATGTGAAGGGACGAGCGTGGATCGTTTGTATAGTCATAGAAGGCAACCTATGAGACGTTTTAGCAATTTCATATAGGGACTAGATCTTTTATCAAAGGCAACATCGAGGGACATCGAGGGACTACGATCTTTTATCGAGGATATTTGCTAAAATGCCCATATTCGAGGGACATGACTATTTTCCGAGGCAACAAGTGAGATTACCCTAGAGGTGCATGTGTGTGAATAGTGTGTTTGATTGCATGCATTTAGTCTTTGATTAGGATGGTCTATTTGTTGGTTTTATCTTACCGTACACCCTAATTACTAACATTTACGAAAGCAATAAAAATGCAGAAAATAAAGGTCATACGCTATTACATGTTTTTTTTGGGGATGGGGGATACAAGTTTACAAGTGGGGGTTGCAAGAAATTAAATCCTAATTAATTATTACAACCATATTGAAGGTGAATAAATGTACAAGAATTAAAATAATATA